TCAAGTAATAAGGCGATGCCAAATTGGCAATTTAAGTTAAGCCACCAGTCAGAGAGTTAATTAAGTTTATTTTCACAGTGTGATTCAGTTACGGATCATTCTAAGCTCCTCAGTTTTATTTTGGAATATCAAAAGAGTATTATTAATTGTGGATGATGTGGCTATTGTAAATTTCTGCTGCTAAATGAGCAGTCTTTTCCAGAGTTTGGTGTTTTTTATAAGTGAAGTAAATTTTCATAATATTCTTAATTGTTGCATTATGTTTTCTGATAAATGCATTAAATTATTCAGTTGCATACTTAATTTACACTGATGACTATCCAAAAGCAGCACAAAGAAGGATAAGGGATATCAAAGCCAAATTTATTTCAGAAATCACGCATAGTATCAGTGTTAATTGACTTAAAATACAGCCTTCTTTGAGGTGAGGAAGATGAGAAAATGAGTCATGAGTGTTTCTTCTCTGTTTGTCAGTTACTATTGCTACATGCCACAGATGATGGGTCAGCCAATATTCAAGTTATAACTTGGCATTGACTGGATTCATCTCGTATTTTGCTTCAACTCTGCAACAATATCAGCAGCTTTCTGGGTGGAATCTTCTAGACAGGGCATTGGCATTTCTATGTGACGATCCCTTCCATTGACGGATAGTGATATCATATTCCTGGAGTCCTGGAAATGTATCCACTGGGGCATTTGGCTTCAGGATTCTTGAAATTTAATAGCCATATCAACGATGCATGATCTGTGCAGAGCAGGAACGTAGAAATAATGATGGAAATGTTCTACGGCTTTAAGTCTGGCAAGCAACTCTTTCCTGACGATTCAGTTCCTGATGACACGTTCTCCAATTGGATAGGACACGTTCTTGACGGTTTCTTTTGTGGGACAAACTGCATTACACTCTCATTGCTCGCATCCATGTCAAAAATAAATGGTTTGTCGAGCTGAGAATGCGTCAGGATTGCTGCAGATGTTAAATCCTCCTTCTGTTTGTTATATGCATCCTAACATTATTTTGCCCGCAAGAACTTTTGTTTGTTTTCTGTCAGTTACCGACGGGGTCTTTCAATGGATTGGAAATCCACAAATCTCCTGTAGTAGATGCCCAGAAAATCCAGGAAACTTCTCATCTGATGGACATTTTCAGGGCATCTCCAATCCTTAACTGCTGATAAGTTTTCTGAATAGTGCACACACCTTCGGCAGAGAGGACATGTCAGAGGTAAATCAATTCCTGTGTGAACAATATACATTTGGCAGGACTTAGGATTAGATATGCTTCCTTCAGTTTCTGAAACAAAATCCTAATATTTTCCAAATGCTCTTCAAAATTTTCCCAACAACTTGTCATCCAGGTACAGTCAAAAGTTGTTAATTTGGACACCCATAATCCGGACCTCAAAGCTACAAACTTTCCTCCCGACCCCCCGACACTCGCCCCCCCCCAGCGTCCCGCACGCCTAATACTTATTATTATGGCTCGAATATGCGTGTGCGCGGTTGGCCAAAATCCGTTTACCCGAATGTGCGTTTAATGTATAACCGAACTGGTATATGCTACAGCTAAAGTTTTAAAGTTATCCAATTCAGTAATGTTGCAGATTGAGTTGTCTTTAATCTTCGAATTGGATTTGGTTATCTTTTTGCAGACTGTTAGAGCAAATTTATAAAGTAGCTTTGAAATTTTGTGATGTTCAAATAGAAGTTCTGATATATATTTACGAAATGTAAAGGAGGTTTCAAAGTCATTAAACAAAAAGTGAATTGCTGCAAAAAAAATGGATAAAAGGCCAATCCTTGTTTATCAAACTTCAAACGTTTGTTTCTTAAACTTTGGTTTATCTTTAACGCCGCATTATGCACAGTGAATGAAGTGATCTATCAGCACTATCCTTATCTTCAGGGGAGATTATTTTTATTTTACTGGCCTTATAATTACTTACTAAATGTAGTATTCATCTCAATGTACTCCGTCTTCTCATCTTCATCTCAATGGACTCCTTCTATACTAATATTATTAAATCAAATTCTCGTCCGTTATAATTCGCTTCTGATAGCGAAGAACTAGTGACAGAAGGGTATTTTGAAAATGAAAAATTTCGATTGAAAATTAATCGCCATATCTCACACAGCAATACAGGACTTGACACGGAACTTGTAACTAACAAGAAAATATGTTGTTTACCTAGATTAAAGAGAATGTATTAAATCAATGAAGAACTTAAAACTACATTGAAAGAAATGTTTAATAAAGTAACAATAAATATTAAGCTTTTTTTTGGTGTAAATTTTGATACCCTAGATCATAATTTTCTTATTTATAAATACGGTTCATATTTTTATTTATATTTCTGCATGCCATCTTACCAGATCTAAGCTGATGATCTATAATCCGGAAAAATCGATAATCCAGAATCGCCGAAGTTCCGATGAGTCTGGATTAACGACTTTTGACTGTATATCAGACGTGCTTCATAGGAAAGACCTGTCACAGTCTTCCTGAGATATTTGAATGTTCCCAGGACATTACATATTTCAAACGACATCACCTTGAACTGCCAAATCCTTGCTCGGTAGTAAAAGCCATCTTCTCTTGGTCATCAGGATGTATCTACCTGCTAGTATCCACTTTAAATCAAGTGTCAAAAACCACTTGCTTCCAGAAAGAGTGTCCAGAATGTCATCAATTCCAGAGGTAGAGGGTAAATGTATTTCTTCATAACCTCATTACACTAGCGATAGTCAAAGCAAAATCATAATGCAGCTCTTTATTCTTAAAAAGTCCAAAGAAAAATTGCATTTCTTTTGTCTAATCCGAATATGGAAGAGTCAGTAATATCTGCTACATATGCCATGTGATGTTAGGTGGCTCACCCAAATATGATTTTTACATTTAACTTTCCATCAATTTTGATTTTGAATGGACTAATTTAGCGAGGTAACCACTTACTCAATGTTAAACAGACTTTCCCTGTATTCTTTATTTTTCTGGCAGAGCAGCTTTTCATGGTACATTATGGAAAAAAAGAAAAAAAAAACAAAAAAAAAACTATAGTTTAGCATATAATTTCACTAAAATTATTTACATATGTGCAAAATTTATGAAAATATTTATTAACAGTATGTGCAGCAATACTGCTTTTGTTTTACTGTAACTAAAAAGGGTAGGATTTGGAGTTTCTGAGCTTTCTTTAGTAGTATCTTTAAAACTACGATTTAAATCTGAATGCATAATGCCCCAGTGTTCATATTTCCTTGTATGAAGTAAAGTATTGTAATCGTGAAAATTTTTGGTTTTTCAGGTTTCAATGGAAATGTCCATTTTGACATTTTCCGAATCCATTTTTCCAGTTTGACTAATTTTTTGGCCTGATGTCTGTGCATATGGACAGAATAAAGGACTCTTTATTCCAAAATCAATTGTAAAATGGATTGAAAATGTATTTTTTCATAACATCTGTATGTATCTCGCATAACTCAAAATTCATTAGTCGTAGAATGTTACAATTTTGTATGTGGGACTACTGTAACATCTAGCTCTGCACCTGTAATTTTTTATTGGAATCGGCAGTGCCAACATATATATGTATATATACCCCCTTTTTTTTACCCGGCATAAAAGTTTTTACATGGCCTTAATTTTCACAGTCCTTGGTCATAGATAATTACAAAAGTGTTTTAAATGATGAAAATACTTATGTTTTGGATATTTAAAATAAATAATTTTAGACAATCATTGAAATTTAACTTTTAATGCAGTCTCTCTGTTCCTATACTTATATTTGTATAAGCCTTTGAAAATTTTATACTCGATCTGAAAAAAATAAAACTGCTTGAAGTTTAACTTCCGCACAAACAAAGATTGTCCTGGATATTTAATATATGCATGATAAAATATGCATGTACTAAAAATTGGGGGGAGGGAAGTTTGAATTGAAAATACATATTGATGTTAAGTTCATAAGCCCCACAATACATATGAGAAACCACTGGTGTAAAAAGTGGGAACTTCCATCTTACGTGTCCCTAGAATGAAATCAAGATATTTTCCTGGATTTTTGTAATTTTTGTGAATATCTGCCATCCATCTTATTTTTTTAACATGTTTTTAATGATATTAATCAAAAATTGCTCAGAATGATCATTATCAGGTGCACCTAAAATGATGTAAATTGCTATCAATTGAAACAAAAATGAAAGCTTTATCAGAAATTAAAAAAAAGTGAACTTGCATCATATGTGTCTTGCTTAAATGCGTAAGCAAGATAAAAGTAAAGATCAACTAGTGGATAAGATCAACAAGTGGGAAAGGAAAAACTGAAGACCAAAAAGTGGTATTCCTAATTGAGATTAATATTAATACTAAAACCTTTTAAACAGCTGGTTATAATAAGTGTTAAAAAAATAAAAAGTTGTCATCCCATAGTTTGACCATGGTAATCTTCTGTACAGGATACTTAGTGTTTAAAGATGTTGGAAGACCATCCTTAGTTAAAAAGTCAAATTCTGAAAAGGATATTGGTAATAATTTTAAGGATAAAGCATAATTTTAAAATTAAAGTGGGTTTTGTAAATGTAAAAAGTTCTTCAATATTAGAACATCTAGTGATATGTTAATTAAATGAATTTTCAGAGATTATATTTTAAAAACTTGTTGGCAGGAAAACTTAACTTAGACTTTACTTTTAATGCGTATGAAGCTGATCTCTATTGGAAAAGGCTGCACACACCTGTGCTTTCTTTGATTGTGAAGGACACTGTTGCATGAATTTAGAAATATTAAATTTCGTCAAATGTAATCAGACAGTGTACCTACCTGCTAATAATAATAAAGTGACAGTGTACCTACCTGCTAATAATAATGAAATGACAGTGTACCTATCGGCTAATAATAATGAAGAATTTAATTGTGATATTTTTCATATGTAATCAAATACTTGTGGCTTTACAGTTTGTTAAAAATTAATTATGTGTATCAAAATTAAATTATACGTGCTTGTTTGATTGAAGTTCTTATAAAAAATTAGATTGCAATAGTTTGTATTATATGGTAAATTTCTGTCCTTCCATCTTTTTTTTTTCTTTCTTTCTTCAGGAAATTTGGGTCCTTATGGTCCACCTCCAAGACCAGTCCCCATGCTTATTCCAGCAGATTCAAATGTTTCTTATAAGGATGATAGATTACCAGGATGGACAGGGTTTACTGACAAAGCTATTAGAGCTGCTTTTGTGAGGAAGGCAAGTTATTAATTGAAGTGCTTTTATTTTCTACCATACTAAAATCTTTTGACTGACATGCATTTTTGCAAAATTATGTAAAAAGACTATTTAAAATTACTTGTTTTATTTCCACCCTTTCTTTTCTCCCCTTTTTTAAAAGTTTCTTGTTGTTCTTACCTAGTTTTTGTTGGCATTTAATAGCTACCTCTTTTCCCTTTTATAGAAGTTTATTTGCTTTATATATTTCCTTCAGATATACTCTTTCTTGCAGAACAGAGAACTACTAAACTGCCCTCAAACCTTACGTATTTTACTATATAACGAGTATAATGAATTTATATGTAATTAAGTTTACTCCAGACGCATACCCAATTTTAAAACATTAGCAAAATTAGCTGATCTAATTAAATATCAGGATTTTCCCTTGAAATTTAATTAGTTCTGCTATTTTCTTTAACATTGTCTCATACAAATAACTTTTTCAATTGCCGAAAGGAAATTTTTGCTTTATCAGGTAAATTTTCATGCAAATTTTGAACTAAAGAAGACTGTATGAGATTCTGAAAGATAATTAGGTATGAATAGAAACATTTATACACTGCTCCTATTATTTGCTGACATTTTTATGTATAACAAATTTTTTGCTGTATTGAAGTTTACCATTATACCTTAATATGTAGTTCAAATGCTTGGAATCATTTAGAGCGCAAAGCTCGCATGGATCTTGGGCATTGCATCTATTGTATAAAAATTTTATTGTAGTAAATTAAAATTATTTCTTTGCATCTCCAATTTGTGCTGAAGTTTCAGATATATAACGAAAACTCTTAAGGCCCATCTACACATAGCGATTTCCTCGGCTGACTTCGCTGGCCGACAATATCTGAGATAGCTCGCCTGTCACACGGAACAATTTTCTCGTTAGTACAGGAATTCACTCAGCCAATCACTGTGAAAGGAAGGTTCCGCCCCAAAGCGTCCACGTCTACGATTGTTGTAACAAAGCTACGTCTGTCAATAGTCAAATAATGGAGATATTTACTTAAATTGCTATATAGATCAGCTGCGCTTTTGAAATTAGCTATGCTACAGAAGGGGGGGGAGAGAAAATGCGTTTGGACAGAAATTGGGTCAAACGGAGAGAAATTCAGGGGCACTTCGGAAAATATTTACAGATGGTGCCGTGTGATTTTGATTTCCTGCTGAATTTAGTTTGCAGCAAAATTTTTTTTTTGGGTACTGAGTACACCGATTACTCCTTTTTTATTTTATTTATTTTTTAAATTTCATTTTCTGCCACTCCTATTTGTGCACTTAAATCTTGAAATAATAAAATAGGCATGTTTCAGAAAAAATAAGTAACTACTGTGCTTTAAATCAAAACCTTTATTAATGAATAAATAGACAATAATGTCAGGGTAATCAAACCAGTTTGACTAAAAAGTAGTAAAAAAGAATAAAGATTACGACATTACAAAGCAACAGTGTAATTTCAGTGCAACAATTTCAAATAAGAAATATCATAAAGGTGCAGAGTCTTAAGTAGTATATTTATTGAACATCAAAAAACTAATATCAGCATAATTAAATAACTAATTACAGTCTGAAAACTATGATCATGTGACTCTTATCATTTAATCAGCTAATAAAATTTAGCAATATTGTATTAAATTGGGCCATAATTTGTTTTCCCAAAGCTCAATTAACACAAAACTGAGTTTGTGACTTCTTTTTGAGCTAGTACGCAACTACTAAAGTTTTCACCAGTAGGTCTAAATTACGTGCCAACGGCCAGTCGAAAAATAAAAAGAAAGGCGTTAAAATTCAATAAACACCACATCCATAAGCGAAAAAATGAAAAGTGACTTTTAATGCAGTTCAAATTTAGTGATGGAGAAAAGAAATTAAAAAGTTTTTGCAGGCGCAGAATTAAGTCCAAAATTAACCCTCTCAGTGTTACGAACGGATTTTTCCGTATTAAAAGATGGCTCTACAAATCGTCAAGCGCGGATTATTTTGCCAGTTTTGATGAATCCGAAAGTGTTTCAAACGATTTTTTTTGCCTTACTTTTTCCGCCTCGAAATCGTTGAGGACGGAATATTCTGCACTGTCGTTCCCTCCGACCTCCTGTCGCACTTAATTGGTAGTTGGGAAACACCGATCGTTAGAGAAAGATGTTACAATGGGAGGGTCATAAATAAAAACATCAAATCCAGCCGTACATTGCCGACCTGGGCTATTTCATGAACGAAAGCCTTCAACACAAACCTTTTGTATTGAAAAATTTGCGAACAAATTTTTCTGCAAAGCAAATGTAATTTGCACGGAACCCATGAACAACTTTTAAAGAATTCGCATCATCCAAATTACAATAATTCTTTTAGCAGGATAAATACTTAAACAGGTATCTTACAAGTCGTAGACGAGAGAAATTTGATATAATTTTTGTTTTAGCTGGGGCTTGATTAAAAATACTGTAGTTTTAAAATATAAACAGTTCACAAAAGAGTTACTTCAATCACTTTTGTAATTCATCTCACAAAATGTGTCATTTTCGTGTGGTATCTAATTCATTTAGTTGGGAAGTGAGTATGGACATTTATTATTGCAATATGAGACAAGGCGTTTCCTAAAGAAAATTTGTTTATTCTTCTGATTTCTCGTCTAAAACGAACTACGAGAAACTACTTGGCATGATACGAAAATCATTCACAAATAATATTGTGTTTGATAAAGCATTTTTGGCATTGATAAAATAAAGTACTGAAAGTACATGAAATCGCATGAAAATGTATTTTTACCCTAAGCAAAATACTTCCGTTTTACTGAAAGTATTATCGAATAAAAAGGTCTGAACAATATTTGATTATGACTATTTTACTGTTATGAAGATGTGTTTTATTTCCAAATTTCGAAACGGTTGGGACATAAAATTCTCAGCAGGTAATAGTAAATATTTATGAAAAATAGTTGTTAGTAGAAAAAATGTAAATAGCTTTTTATAAAATCGTCACAAGCATTTTGCGAAGGTGGAAAAAATATGATGATGATCTGGGTGATGCAAAAAATTTCGAAAAAGGAAAATAAGGATTTCCGATTATTAGTCTATATCAAGATTTGAAATGACACAATTAGATGCTCAGATAAAAAAAGGACAATTTAACTCTCATGGAGGAATTGATGGGAAAAAATTTTATTAGAGAGGGTTAATTAAAACAAAGGAGGGCTCTATCGTATGGGAAGGGATGCTTTTGGAAGATATTTAAAGAAAACTGGTCGTATTCACGTCAATGGGAAAAACTCAAGCAGATCAAACTATAGTGTTCAGTGATGTTACTGCTCGGTCTAGGGACGTATTTATGATAAGGACTGATGAGCTATGTTAAATTAGGTACTGATACATTATTTTTAATTCAATAGTAGTACTTAGCTTGGGTTTATAAAAAGGCCATATGCCGTATTCTTGAAAGAAATTTTCACATTATTAACATTTTATGGCAGTTTTTGGACCTTCTCACGTCCACCGAATGATTCACATCTAAGAACAAATGAAACTATTTAAATAAATATCCTTGCTTCGTTGAACTATTTCTTGGTTTGGTACTTGAATAAGCGCTCGAAGGCTATTGACTAAGGAGGGATGCCTTCATGGAGAACTGTTTAGAGAAAATGGTTGCTAGCATGTACACAATGGAAAATCACGAAAATGTCCATGCAACAGCCCGTTCGCTGGGATTTCGAACGAAAACCAGTGTTCAGCAATTTTACTGCTTGGCCGTTGGTGGGCGCATCACCTTGAGGTATTATCATAATATATATGTTTTTAAGGGCCCACAAAATCAATGCTACTATTTGATTTACATTTCTAGTGATGTTAATAATTGTGTATTTGACGGCTCTGTGCCGAGCGTAAAGCTTCAAACGAGGACTTCATAAGCGGAATGGCTCTATCCACCTTATAATGGGAAACCACCGTAATTAATACAAATGTGGAATATTTTTCTTGTAACTGTCAATGATACCACTTACGATTTGAATTCACTTTCGGAGAAAACAATACATGAGAAAAAACAAATTATGGAAAAATATAAAGAAATTGATGAAATAAGATTATAAAACACAAATTTCTTTTTATTTGGGTCATTTGTTTACCATTTACTTTGTGTTTTAATCTTTTTTTATTTTATTTCAGTATTGCTAATAATTAATAATATTTCTTTTAAATTATGCTTAATTTTTAATATTTTGCAATTAATTATTTTAAAATTTGCAAATGCAAAAAAATTTGTGAAATGCATAAACTCTTTCAATTCTAAATATAAATCTCCATTCCTTCTAAAATATATTCTGGATATTATAACAAAAAGATATATAGTCATAAATTATCTGCAATTTATTAGTAAAGTGCATTTTGGTAGTGATTCATGATAGTTGTAATGTGATGCTTCAAAAAGATGCACCTACATTTTTCACAGTTTGGGCAGAACAGGGTTTCTTTCAAATAAATAAATAAAAAAAATAAAAAACAACAGTTTTTGACTCATTTTATTACAAATGTATGAAGCAAATTTTTTTCATTCTCCAAAAGAAATAAATATGTCAATGAATAATATGTTTTCAATGTGTATTAGAATAAAATCCATACTCGTCTGATGCAAATTAACTGATATATATTTTTACCCAAAATTTTTCAGAAAAGATTTCAAATATTACTTTCAAGCACTAACTACACAGAAGGTGCATTTTTAAGTTTTTAAACACAGTTTTTGATCGTTTCAGCATCTTTTATAAGTGCTAAGAACTGTCTTATTTCTCTAAATTTTCTTTTGCAAGGTAAGGAACAACACATTCAGTGGCACTTTTTTCGCACAGTCGCTTTGCAGACATTTAAATTTCTCTCATGCATTCGAAAACGAAATAGTCCATAACTAAAAGTTTAATCTTATTCAGTTAATTTCTTACATAACCTTTTCATAACCGCTTGTATTCTTTTTAAGATGTTCCCGGATAAACAGCC